TCTTCTCCATGCAGAGGGCCCCCTGCCTGTCTTTGCCCTTGGCCCCAAATTTCCTAAACCCGCCGCTGCGTGTCATTATATTAGAATCTAACTTAATGCAGAAAGGAGAATGAGGAGACCTGTTTCTATCAGAGCAGGAGGCCTGAAAAAGAAGCTCTAAACAACATAAAGAGGATCTTTAAACAGTTGCTTTAAATAAGAAAATGTTAGCCTGATGGAAAACAAGCAGAAAACCTTCTCCCAGACTCTAAAGGGCCCAGTAGAAAGGTTAAAGTTTACAGAAAGGATTAAAACGCCTGGCTCAGTAGGAGGAGCTCCCTGCAGCACAGCTCCAGTTAATAGAGAAGTTTATTGGGGGTAAATGACTCTGAAGATGAGATAAAGAGGAAGACCAGTGTCAGGCATCAGGACAAACACACTGAGTTGGAGGGCGGAAGATTGAGCTTTAATCTCCCACTATTTAGCTAATAGTGAACAAAGTGATTAACAGCGGCAGACATCGTTACCTGGAGACATTTCTGACCATAAAGAGCAGATACAGCTTCATTCTCTGGGGGGATCAGTTCAAACTCACCCTGTTATTGAATTCAACCATTTTCCCAATGATTTCCGTATCAATGGAGGGAAAAATCGAATTTCCGATGAACTCCATGTCTTTGCTGGTGAGCTGGTCCACAAAAACCTGGGAAGAAAACGGAAAACCGAGTCAGTACACACAGTGAAACAGTTATACTGGAAGAAATCTAAATCTAGATAAGTCATTTTTTCTTAAAATAAATGCATTTGTTCTTGAATTGAGATGGTAAAGGAAAGACTTTGCCAATGGAACAAGACAATTTACATTTAAAATAGGAAAACACAATTACATTGTCTTATTTCAAGTGCATTTTATCTAATTATCTTATTTTAAGTGTAAAAATACTCAGGGGCCTGACCTGGGTGAATCTGTTGAGGAAGGATTTGGGCAGCCCTTTGCGCCCCCCGCCTTGGGTGAAGGGGTTCTGGCAGCCGAAGATCTTGGTCTTCTCATGCTGAACCTGGAAGCTCATGCCCAGTTCAGGGATGTAGATCTCAGCTCTGTGGTCAAAGCAGGCGTTCAGACCCTCCAGCACCGACTGAGACGCCAGGTTGAGCTGCAGGCAGAAGAAGCAGAGAGCTGCTGTTCACATCATCTTCCTCTGCAATAGACCACCACCTCCTTCCTCAGTCAGCATTATAGACTGAATGAAAGGGATTATGCTCCATGTCTGACATTTTAAACTTCTTCTGTAAATGCATTTACCTAAAGTGAATGAGAACCTTGTTCAAAGTGTAAAAACTAAAGCTGGATGATCTTACCTCATCCAGAACCACCCAGTGGCCGGCCTTCAAAGCAGCCAGCAGGGGGCCATCCCGCCACGCAAACTCTCCTCCTTTCCCCCCCTCCACAGGAAGATCTGTCCCAAACAGGTCAGTGACATCCTGCCAGAGAGTGCACGCCGTTAACGCCACGTCGGATCCTGCTGAGCGTTGCTCTCTGAACGCAGGCAGAGCCTTACCGTTTGCTCCGACAGGTTGATTCTGACCAGATGGTTTCCAGAGGCTTTGGCCAGCGCCGCCACCAGGCTGGTTTTTCCCACGCCGGGGGACCCCTCCAGCAGCACAGGCCTCTGCAGTTTGAGAGCTCGCAGAAGCCTCTGGGCGTTCATAGCTGCAGTGCCTGCTGTGATGGCGTACTGCGGCAGGCTGCGCCCATCCGTCTGAGGTCCTGATCAGTTACAGGAAAGGAAGGAAGAAGAACTCATAAGAAATGTGTAAAACTCATCATTTGGAACCAACACAAACAAAATCATTAACAAAATATTTAAAGGTCCAAAATTATGCAAAATTCACTCTATTTAGTAAAAGTCACATGTGTCCAGAAAGAAAAAAAACATTTCCTCTCTACTAAAATGCTGTTCAAAAAGTATTCCCCTGATGATGTCATCAGGGGAATATGAGCTGTAGAGAGCGGTCTGTAGCAACCCATCCTTAAAGCTACCACCTTCACCTAATGTATTATTCAACGCTCCGAGCTCTATCTTCATGAACTTTGACTGGTTGTCATGTTTTC